GCCTTTCTTCGCTCTGCCCGTGGTCTACGAGACCACGTTTCCATGACCGATCGGACGAAACTGTGACGCCGTAGGCTCGATTGTCCTTGGATCGTCGGGTAGTTTTGTTTTCGTCGAAAGAAGATGGGCTTGTTTGGGGCAGCTCGTTCTTTTAACGCGTTAGCTGCCACGAAAACTCTCGAGCCTTTTTGTATCGTTTATTCTTTTGTAGCTAAGGTAAAGAGGAACGGTTCCTTATTAATTGGTATCGCAATTTTACGTTGCACTGTTATATTATTTAGATTGGAATTTGAAGTTTAGGTATTTTTCATCTATGTGAACGTTCAATCCATTATGCTTGTGATTTGTTAATGTCGCGTTATTTGAATAATTGCGCGGTGCGCTCAATTATTGAAAGCAGATATGCAGCAGATAGCAAGACATTTTAATTATTCTTTTTCGTGTCGGGACGGTGAGATGGGATTCGTGAACGCTGGAAAGTTGGCCGAGCAACGAACTATCGGAAATAATCTCGATTTTCAGCCGGTGAAAGGGGCAAACACGGGGGCGCGTCGGTTTAATTCCGGTTCAGAGTACTTCGTACTTCCAGAAAGGGCGGCCTCGAATTATGAACGGAAACAAAGAGATTTAAACTTCGAAGTTGCGAGCGGCGATCGATTGGGCATGAAACGAGGCAAAGTTTGCAGATCCAAACGCCTCGCCCGATTTGAATGTGTACATTGGAAATGATGTTGACCGTTCGGCCTGCGAGAACTAAGGGGTTCATTATTCTGTTTTGGCAAGTCAAGACTTCGCCTCGCCTTCTTTCGGATTTTACACCGATTCTTGACCAATTGTTTATTTATTTTATAGAAAATATTCATAAAAAATGAGTCAGACGTGGTCCTTAACTATCGTTTTCAACAACAGAGAAAATAAATAACTCTTTTTAATAACCTAAAGTAATAAATAACATATCTTCAATATCTAGTAGGTGAATCTCTAAAGTATTCAAGATTGAATGACTTACAATTTCCATTAAATTTCGATATTGTAGGAATATCCGAGGAATGTCCAAAAGAAGTCACACATCGACAAACGAGTGTCAACGTCGAAAATCAATAGATAGAAAATTCATAACGCGAATAATCATAACTTCGGCAGTTTTTCCTGAAAAACTATTGACAACGTGACCTAAACCTCGACTCAGCTTTGGAAATAAAGTTTCCTACATTTGATCTAATTTCAATTAAACTTGCTTCTTCCCGTTAAATCCTATTCTGCCGTACACTCTGTTCTTACAGCATTCATCCCGAAACCGAAGCTTTCCCTGGGAAATGGCAGCTTCGACTTGCAGAAATACTCCGCGAAACCACGGCGAATTCTCTCTCTTTCCCTTCGCGAGTGGCAAATCCGACACGGTAAGCCGCTTGGTAATCTTCTGATATCGTTTAACGCCATATTTCGCAAAATATACGGGTCTCCGGTAGTCCGCGGACGGCATTTCGTTGGCAAGGTGGATAGGCAGAGCAAATGACACCGGGAGGGATGAATTTCCGTTGAATCGGGAGGGTGCTGGTACAGGGATGATGCGAGCGAGGGGTTAGAGGTCGCCGGGTTGTCAGGCGGCGGATGATTGCATGCCTGCGGCGGCGCTTCGCGAAGCACCGCGCACCACGTACATAATATATACCACTTATCGAGTGGTCACCTACGTTTTATGCGACCCTCACAACGCTACCAACTCTTGCCTGCATGCAGATTTCGATTCTCCAATGTTCGGCAATTGACACCTTAACACGTTCGCTACCAGCGTCACGTATTCGTGACGGACGCAATTTTATATTTTATATAAAGCAAATGAAATTGATCTTGTATTATAGTTAGCTATTATACTTAGGAACTCGATAACTCGTTCCAGTTTCATTCTTTCGAGAATTTGTGTAGCAGATTTATTAAATCGAATAAAATATTACAATTGAGGAGGTCCTCACCGAGATAAACTGCAGCGAACGTGTTAAGCCCTTCATTTCAAAGTTCAAAGACTCATCGAAAAGTTTATATAGTTCAAACAATAAAACACTACATTAGCTTTCAAATTACAACCAATAAAGCCTGGTAAACAAAAATTCAAAACATACGTCGTCTCTCAAATTATTCCATTGTAATTAATCCTTATAATATATCCAACCACACTAAAAATCAATACATCTATACTATTCAGAAACTTCCAATACAAACTAAACACCACCCCACGCTACTTCCAACCTACACGTTTAATTTACCTCTCCCAAACTTCTCGAAAGACCTGAATTCACGTACAACTCCACGATCGTAATACTTGTCAAACAGCAATATACCTCTATCAAACGCTGCACACGACAAAAATCGTCCATACGATTTCCACGGTCTATCTGAGCTCGAGCTTCGAACAGCGAGCCCCCTTTCGTGCGGAACATTCATCCCCGTTGATTATCTTCGTGAACTACCGCTAATTTCCAAGAAAGGTAGAGCAACCGTGGAAAGCCTCTCGCGACGAGGCACACACTCGCGCGTTACCGCGGCGCGATGAGGGAGAAAGAGTGAGTGAGCTAGTCGGCAAGACGCGAGAACGAGAGGAACACAGCCGCCCCACCCCCGTGTGGAGTCTCCTTAACGTTAGGAAGCTCTGCCACTAATTGAATCTCCTCTCTTACTCGCGTCTGGAGCCTCAGCAACCGCTGGGAACCGGAGCACCCGTCCTGCATTAAGCACCCCCGACACCCTGGGCACCCTCATCCCCATCGAGCGGTCTGGTCCGCCCCTGGCTGCTTTTCTCTTTTGATATGTACCTCTGCCTCTTGTACTTCTCTCTCTCTCTCTCTTCCACCTCGTCTTGCTCTTTACGTTTCTTTTAAATATGCTCCGTCTCTCTTTGTCCCTCTCATTCTCGGTGTCCCTTCTTTCGAATTTTTTTCTTTTTTCTTAACAGTCCACCCCCTGCCGACGGCCACTTCCTTTTCACTCGGATCCTGCGTCTTTTACCTGCGGTTTTCATAATTCCGCTTTACATTCGGTTTACACTGGGCTCTTGAAATTACGGTACTGTTGTTACTGCGAGGTTTTGTTGCCTTTGCTTGGAATTCTCGCGATTGAATTTTGATGGCAATTGCTTCGAGGGGACCCGCCGCTTTGAGTTTGTCGGTCGGAGCGGAGTGTTGATTAAGAGACTTTTAATCGTTGGTGTTTGTGGATGGCGAATTTTTAATTAGTAATATAGTAATAACGTGCGGTGAGAATTTTTCTGGTTGCGCAGGAATATACATTGACGCGGTGATAAAAGTAATTCTTAATTTAATACGTTCACTTGTTAAATTCACCATTATCAGACACGAATTTCGTATAACTGGATTCAAATATCAAACGAGTATTATACGTGTACAGTCGCATGCATGTCGAAGATAAATCGGCTTTGCCGCTCCGCGAAAGCGGTATTCTGAATCGATAGTACAATGGAGTTCTTAAAACGCGGAAGCTTTGAAATTTTCCGAGAACGTTAACTTGAAGTTTCGCATTCAGTTCACCGTGGGTTATTGAACTATTACAGATGTAGCAGCAGGAAATAAAACGATCGTTATGTTATCGCTAATTATTGTTTAATCACTGTTCCCCGGTTGGAAATTTTGGAAGCAACAGGGTGCTCGGTGAATCCCGTACAAGAAAAACGATAAAATTTACAGCAAGTAGGCGGTAATCACGAACTCGGCCCGTCATCGCCGACATAATGTAATGCCGTATCGAAAGGAGATTACGAGTTTTCGAGCGATTAATTAATTAAATGGAAATGCCCGGCAATGCTTATCGAAGACCGATGAAAAGTTTCGGTGACACCGATACCGTCTACATTTGTCGGATAAACGCGAGACCACGCGGAAACCGATCGATCTGTGACTGTTCCGCGAATATACGACAAAGACAGCGAATAACGATAACCGTGGAGATATTTAATTTGCTAACGGATTATAGATTTTTCTGTGTTCATAACATTCAATCATTCGTCGCCAAGAAACATTCCCGAAATTTTCGATGAAAAATAAATGAATTTTTGGACTAATAAAATTCACGTTATCGATAAAACAGAATTATATTAAAGTCTGATTGTATAGTTATCAAAGTTATCGATACAAGAAAATAACAATTGTTTGTATACATTAATGTTGTCAGGAGATAGTGTAGATTGAAAAATAAGAACAGAAATTAACTGTTATTAATAAAATGTAGAATATTCTTTATCACGAGTAAGATATTTCGAGTGACACCTATCACAGAATCTGAAATGAAACTGCGAAATGACGATCAAGTGAAAGATCAACGAAAAGCGAGACGTGTCATGATTCTGCAGAATCATAATTAAGTCCGCACATTCGTGGTGCTCCTGTTGAAGTCTCCCATATATTCAGTTAATAGAGACACGTAGCAGGCTATTTATCAAAATAATTACAAATCAAAGAATCAAAATTAAGCATCAACAGAAACATATCCCAAGTAAAAATTGTGTAAAATACAATTGTTTTAAATTTCATTAAATTCGTGTTTATGTAGAATGAAACAAGTATGCTGTTAGTCAAATCAACTATGAAACCAACATCAAATAGACTTCTCAAGCTAGAGATCACTGTTTCATTAGGCGTAGAGATCGTTTGCTTAGGAGGGTTTGTCTGACCAGTGGCTAAATCTACTTTCTTTGTAGATCTGTGGTTAAGCAGTTGTTCGAACAGTTTTGAGCATCAAAACCGTACTAGATTCAATTATATAAACTCAATTTCTAACCATTATGCCATGAACCTCACGTATTAATATTACACACAATTCTCTATGACTTTTAGAAATTTAAATTACCAAAATTTTAGTCTCTTATGTTATACTAGAGAATATTTGAGGATTTTAAGCTTGATCACATAAAAATTCGCTGGGCAATTAATTCACCAGCACGAATGCGATGTTAAACATATACAGATATTCGTGTAATAGATATTGCTTACCGTCTCTGTTCATTTTGGCTTTGAAGCACATATCAAGCCGACAAGCCCGACATTGGTTCCTCAGTTTCTTATTGATGCGGCATTGTCCTTTCATAGCACCTTGTTCCTTGCAGACGTATTTTCGATTCTCGTGGATGCTCCTCTTAAAAAATCCCGAACAACCTGTAACCCGAGTAAAATCACGCTTGCATCATGAAATAAATGAAATACACCCACGAAGCTTCGCGGAATCCTCGGAAACGTTGCGAAGTTTAAGGTATTAAACAAATGGGACAGTTTTCGTTTAATATTTCACGGTTCCATACAACGTTTGCATAGTGGCGACGTTAAATTTAATAAAATCTATAACAATTGTCACGTGCTTTAATAACCGAGTGAATATTTGCGGATAACATTGCCATTATACCGCAGGCGAATTCGGCGTTATTATTTTAATACTTTCCGAATGCGCGCGTCGGTCCATGAAAGTATCTGTGAATAAGATCAACGGATTACGTGACGTTGGACGTTAATGCCAAATGTACGCTCGCAGCATTGAAAATTCATTTGGACTACGAATAGAATCGCGCGATACTTTATTTGACATCATCATTTCACGTCGGTGAAACGTTTAAACCTCGAGTATCTTTACAATCGCTTTGGAGAATCATTCGTGGAGCTGTTATATCATTGAAGACTCAGTTTAAAATTTCTTCCCGTTCTTTGGATCGTGAAACAATTGTGTCAGTAGAATTTTTGATTAAATTAAATTCCTGTTGATTGTATTCCGTGATTAGTAGATACCGCTTAATAATATCGTGTATACACGTAGTACGTAAAATTGATAGTTAGTAATTTGTATCGATATGTATATTTGTTGTTTCTAATCTTTCTTATCAGTATATGTTATAATTCAAAAGCATTTATGCTAGGAAACAGTGTTAATCTTTTCCCGACGGACAAGTCACGAGCAAGGATAAATGCTTATACCGAAGAATAGTGACGGCCTTTACAGAAATGATAATAAACGAAACTATAAGCTGCTATTACAGTTTACCGCAGTGTATTCAGTAAATATCGTAGTTTAGAAGAAATTTATAGTTACCGTCGCAACTGTAGGTGCCGTAGTGTTTCCCAGAGCTACGATCACCGCATACAGTACAGAGTATATCGAGTAGTCTGTCTCCTGCAAAAGAAATTTGCTTCACGCTAAATTAGGCAAAACGACGTAGAAGCACGAGTAACATGATTCGTCAAGGAAATGAGAAATAGTACCGTAAAATAATGCCGCCGCAATCATTTTCAGTAGAAGTGCCTTTCACTAGTCAAACACATTAAACATGCCTGTATCTTCGTTCTAAAGCGCTGTGGAACAATGCATGTCTACGATTAATATCAATGTACGTTACAAAAGGAAAGGTAAACTTTGACAAAGCACAAATGAAAACTCGCCACAGTTATATTACAAAGTTACTAAAACACCAAACCGCTCTAAACAAGCATTCGATCAAAATAACATGGTTTCCAAATTTATCGTAATATTCCACATTTCTGTCTTACAGCAACATAATAAGGTATACATATTATCGTAAATCTATAAATTTGTATGCGACATAGCCTAAACTCAGATGCACGTGCATAAGCATCTAAACAGTCATAGATGAGTATAATGTCAAATAATTCTTTTCATTTTACAACTTCAATGGAAACAATAGTCGTCTCAGCAGCCGTTAATTGAACGATTCTAAGTAACATTCTTAGTTTCCCGTTGAAAAGAACGAGACACGCAGTCGCGCCATTCCGATTGGCGGAATATTTCGGTGCGGGGTTCACCGTGGATCTTAAAAACGTGAAAAGCTGGCGGAAAGAGGTGTCCGTTTAAGAAAGCGAGGCGGACCGCAAGAAGAACTCGAGCGTTAATCTGTTCTCCCCCTTTCTGGAGGAACCCTAATCGCCCTAATGATCCGCGGCAAGAAAAACACGGCCATGCCTAAGCCAACCAAAGCTTCCGTTCCTAGCCTGGGGAACCAACCACCTTCTTCTCACACCCAAAAACCATCCAAACCTAACCCGATCAGACGAGCTGCTTCAACCCCAACAGATTACCTCCTTCCGACGTTTCTGGTTGTACCTGTACAGTCTTATATACCGAGCTCCGATTAAGAACCAGTGGATTCAATTGCGAATGGAACCGGTAATTACAGCCCTTGCTTTATATGCTCGTAACTCTGGTCGCTTTGTACCTTAACCGGTTAACTGTGTTTGACGAGTATACGCGTCATCGTAAAGCTTGACATGATAATTCTTTTAGCGATGAATTCTTTATTTTTTCACGTAAGCATGTAATTCTTTGTTTCGCTTTGATCTTTCATTAAAATATACTGTACGCATTCGTCCTGCGTTCGATGGGTACACGCTCCTTTTTGTTATTTTATTGCGCGCAGAACGAGAGGTTTTTTCAACTGAATTTCACAGTTAACTGGTTAACACGTCGACCGCCACGAGAATTTCGTTTCGTTATAGCAAGATTTATTCCTTTATAATACAGGGAAATAGTGTTAGAAATAATTATTAATGTTTTGGTATTACAGTGCTCATGTTGCACCATTATCTAGCTTCCTGTGTTTTTGAATATTTTGATTCAATGGCAATTTTCTTATTGTAATTGTTTTCGAGCAATTTGGAAGCTCCGGTCACCGGTGACCACCGTGGCAGTCAACGTGTTGAGGGAATTGAGGAAATTTTCGCGATAATGCGGATTTGTTAGTGTATGATTTAATTGCTAGAACATTAATGTAATATCTTGGATGTGTATAACACAAATCCAAAGTAAAGTTGCGGAATCGAATTGTTTATTCTGTTTCGTAAGGTACAAATTTCGATTTGATCGATGTTTAGAAACATATTAATGTAATCACCGACGCTTGCGTTTCTAGTAGCTGAAATTTAGGCGTACAATGTGTTAAGGTGAAATGCAACGTCTGTATTTGAAGTAAGATTGGTAATGGTCATCTATGAATGAGACTGGATAAAATTATAATTAATTCAGAGACGAATCTCAATCTCTATGACAATGTGTGTGAAACAAGTTAATGTCTTAGTTAAATAAAAACTGATTCATTATTCGATTATAGAAAACCAACAGTCCGTTTTATTGAGTAATAACTTACTACGTAAAGGGTTGAAGAATTTTTATGGATAATCTACTTACTTATGGGTGCTGAATGAATTTGATATGTTAGCTGAACATATGAAACTGTTTTGTAAATTGATGGAATTAGAGACATGGTTATTAAGTAGATGTTTGGACAACCCCAGCTTGTCAAAGTAAGAAATATTGTCTTTATCGTTTAATTAAAACCAACTGCAACTAATGCTGAACACGAAAAGCCTTAGAAACCGTTTATCTACACCTCGAACAACCGACGATCAGAAATTCAGTATAAACATCTACGACT